AAGGCATAGGTGAAACACACTGGGTACTGCCACCAGGTAAAGGTGCCAGGGACTACGGGTGTGACAGAGAGAGAGCCCCAATGCTGTTCGGGACCCAAGGACCTGCGACACTTATACATAAGTGCACTCAGGCTTCAGTTCCCACTGTAGCTTGTGACTCCACATGGAAGGCCCACACCCTTTCAGTCTCCCCATGACCCAGGCTGACTGCACACCTCGTTGAGCCCTCAGTCAGCCAGATATTTGAAATGACTCTGTTAAGAACTGGTCACGGCGGTCATGGCAGTCACGGTGGTCACAGCATGTGTGTTTACTTAGAAAGGAACTTTCCACTTCTACTTTTGAATAGATCTTTGGAGTAACCCTCTTCAACCCCTTCACGTGAGATCCCTCAGTTATGGATCTCATGGACAGGTTCCTCTGTTGCTGTTCTTCTCGAGTTCATGCTATGTGCTCAGCAAATGGGACTGTATTCCCTTCCCAGTATGCAGTATGTTCAATTCATATGTTGAACAATGAAAGCCCTAGGATGCCTGCAATGTTATAACTGTGCACAGAAAACCTAGGGACCCTAGGATGCCTGCAAGTCAGCTGGTGGCAGGGCGGCAGGGCGGCAGGGCGGCAGGGTGGCAGGGCAGCAGCAGCATCTCCCCTCTGCTAACGTGCTGTGGTTATGTAAGATGCTCTCACTGGGAAAGCCGGATGAAGAGCAAAGAGGAACAGGCTGTTCTCGTTTTGCAAATTCTTGTGAGTCTTAAATGATTTCAAAATAAAAAGGGTTTTGTTGGTGTTTTCTTTCTCTAAATATCAAGGTAGAATGGAAGGGACCATTTAGTACAGTGGTTTCCAACTTGAATCTTAGCAGCAGCCTCGCCTCCCCACTTTGCCTTCCTCCTTCCCTACCCTCGGTGGCACTGGGCACCTCCTGACAAGCTTGGGGCTCTGTGAGATCTCATTTAAAACCCTATTCCTACCTCCATGGTCCAGGATCCAGATATAGGAAACTGAGGCCCAGAGAAGGCCGGCATGCTGCCCCTCAGTGGCTGTGGTATAAATACAGACAGCCCGGGGAAAGTTTCTGCTCCAGTGGCTTTCAGTGAAGCATGGTGAGTCCCGTTGTTTCTCTTGTCAGACCTGGCACCATGTACTACACTGGATGAGTCTCCATGTTTCTGCTTCACCTTTCTCTACAGGCAATAGCCTCATCTTGATCTTTAAGCTGGGACTATGCATGAGCTAATCTGGGCCACCAAGCAGTTTCAAATTTACCACATGGGGGTGATTGCCAAGGAACTTCCTGGGCACAGTGCTGGAAGCTGGACTGAAGAGATATTCCCTGTCCAGCCTCCATTCTGACCTCCAGGCAAGGCTAGAATCACCCAGATTGCCAGATGCTTCCATTACACCCCATGCCACTCAAGTATTTTAGAGAAACCTGGGGCTTCATGAAGTTTATTCTAAGGCTAACACAATAACAGCATCTTATAGTTTTCCAGTTCTTATCAGGTTGTAAACCCTTTGCATATGCTCATATACTTCTAGAGTTCATATGAGCACATAAGGCCATCATAACTTATAAATAAAACTGAGAGTGCTCCCCTAGACACACACTTTTGGTAGTGAAGGACTCTGAGCCTCGGTGGCTCTCCAGACACACACACAAGAAGTGGAAGTCATGGCTTCCTCTCTTTCTACATCTCCCAGCAGTTAGAGCCTGGAGATGACATATGGGTGTCAGATGAGTAAGAGACTTAGGTTTTCCTGAAACTGAGGCCCATTGCCTATGTGCCACATCAATAAAGATGTGTGTGACAGTCAGCTGGCAGGACAGCCACCCCAGGGCTGACTGCCCTGTGCATCCTCCAGAGGGTTTGCGGCAAGCTGCCACTCTTCATTTGCTGCCAGTTGTTGATGCCGTACTTCTGCAGGCAACCCAGCTATTTCCTTTCCCCCCAGCATCTTCTTTGCCCTCCACATTGTAGGGAACAACCTTCACTGTCAACATGGATCCAGATAATTGGTGCTGATGCTAGCCTGATCCTTCAGCATCCTGGCCATGGTCTCAGACATCGGAGTAACTGATCAGCTGCCTTTCACTCCATCTTCATAGCCATTACTATCTAGGGAAAATACTCCCACGAGGACATGAGATATTTTATAACCGGAATGGGGTTGTAAGAAGGCCAGACAGTGGGTTGCTTCAAGAGTATTGCTAATCATGAGCCAGGGAGATAGCTTCATGGGTAAGGTGTTTACTTCCACATCTGAGGACCAAAATTTGATCCCTGGAAATCACACTGGGGAAGGAGAGAAGCAACTCTCAGAAGTAGTCCACAGACCTTTGCATATGCAAGGTTGCATACACAGGCACTCATGTGGATCCACATGCATACATACACACATAATACATAAATACATTTGAAAAGAAAACAGTATCGCTGGTCATCGACACATGTATTCGCTACTACTGTGAGGCCCTGTTGTCTGTGAAATGACCTCCTACAGCAGTGATTCCCAGTCTTCTAACCTTGGGATAATCTTTCTTAGACTGTTAAAGCACAGACTGGAACAGAGCAGGCTAGCATGTACCTGCAATCCCACTATTCAGCAAGCTAACAAAAGGGAATGAGGGCTGTCTAGGCTACATAGTGATGTTCTGTATCCAAAAAGAATGGGAGGGAGGAAGGGAGAGAGAGGAAAAGGAGGGAGGGCAACAGGGAGGATGAGGGGAAGGTGGAAGAGCAAAAGGAGGCCTCCTCCCAGAGTCTGTGACTGTGGGGACATCTAGGTACAGTATTTGTAATCACTCTCCTAATATCCTGTTATGTGAAGCCTGTTGCCCTAAAGCTGGGCTTGGCAAATATTTTTTACGAGGTTGGTAGTAAATATTTTTGGCTTTGTGGCCCATTTCATCTCTGCCACAAGTGTTCAACTCTGCCACTGTAGCCACAGAAACCATGTCACTAAGCGAACATAGTTGCATTCTGAGATTTTATTTATAAAAGAGCTGGTATATCTGTACCCCTCCCTCAGAAAACTGAGGTACAGATCTAGAAGTTTAAGAGGTGGCAAGAACCAGCTGTTCATGCTGGGTAAACATCTAAAAGCTTGTACTGTAAGAATTGGGTGATCAGATCCCAGTTCTAATATCTATGAGTGATGGAGATCTAGGAGGGGAGACATGGTTATCACCATCTCTGTAAAATGAGGGTGATGATAAATCTGTGAGTGTTTGGCTTGCTTTTCTTTAAACTTTTCTGCATGATTAAAACATTCCGGAATTTGCCAATCTATGCCTTTACAAAGTAATCATAATCATTCCTTTGGGATATATTTAGCTTGGGTTCTGGGTTTCAAAGTCAACCAAAAGCCAAACTCACCTTTGGATTCCTGTTAGACCTCTGGTGCCCAGGTGCCTTCAAAGTCAGAAGCCTAGCATGTCTTTCTTTGTGTCTTTGTATGTGAGCATCCCCTGACTCCAGGAGAGCCCATGCTTAATGTGTCTTCATGGATCTTGTCTTCTGACCCTCCTTCTCTTTGCCCTCTGTGCTCTAGCAGCTGCTCAAGCCCCACTTCAGGAAGAAGTGGTCTATAAGAAAAGGACCTTGTATGTGCATATTGGCTATGACATTAGTTTGTTGTTCAAATAACACACTAAGGTCTTTTTGCTCAGTTCTCTCCTTGAAAGAGCAGGGGACTGTGTATGGTGGTATTCATCTTTAATTCCCAAACTGCAGAGCTGAGAAGTTCTGAGACAGGAGAGTTGTAAGTTCAAGACCAGCCTAGCATACAAAGTGGGGGGGGGGGTAAGAAGAGGAGAGATACCATGAAGAAAAATAAGATGAAAAGAAAGAGGAAGAAGGAAGGAGGAGGAGAAGGAAGAGGAAGAGGGGGAGGAGGGAAAGGAGAAGGAGGAGGAAGAAGAGGGAGAGGAGGAAGAGAAGGAAGAGGAGGAAGAGGAGGAAGAGGGGGAGCAGTAAGAGGAAGAGGGGGAGGAGGAAGAGGAGGAGGAGGAGGAGAAGCCACTAGAAGCAGCAGCTAGCACCTTCCTCTCTGTCCCCTGCACTCACCTTACACTGGACAGCCTCCTACCAGGGTATTCTTCTAACCAGTTCACAAAGGTTGGCTTGTTTTGTCCTTATTATAATCATGTAAGTTAGGTGGTGCTGACTTCCCAGTGTGCAGATGAAACAGGAAGAACAAGCCATTTGTCCAAATCCATGCCTCTGAAAGATACTAAAACCCAGCCAGAGACTCCAGAAGCCAGACTTGCTATGGCATACTGTATATATAGCTTCTGTTTCTCTATCTGTACGCCGAAGATCAGGAACCTAAAAGAACAGATTTCTGGTTGCACCCTCGCACTCTGTATGGTTTGCTAGAGAAAGTAATGAGCCTGCAGGTATGCTTGGGGAAGGGCTACCCCAGTGGGTTTCTAGTTCTCCTCTAACTACTGATGTCTCTCCCACACAAATACACAGACTCTTTGGAGATAAAGCATGATCAAGAGGTCCTGCCAGTCTCAGGGTTGATCTGGTCCCACAGCCTACCAGGATTCTGGAAGCCAAGAGACTTCCAAAAGGATCCAGACCTCAGCTCATTCAGATCAGCTTCATAAGATTCTTTGTCTCCTCTGGGCCACTGCCTTGCTAGGTTTTGGGGTACCTCTGCGTACAGAGACAGGAATACTTTGAGACATTGAACATATCTCCTCTCAAACTATGATGATGGTAGGTTTCAAGTGACAAAATTCATGGAAACTTTGTTATTGACTCTGTACAAATTATATACCTTAAAAGGGGGGGACATGAGTGTTTGCTATATGAAAATGTGATATAGTCAAAACACACACACACAATGCACACACTTCTCTGACTCTAGGGAACAATACACAATCCAATACTAGCCAAACTGTGCAATGAAAATAGATTGTGATCTTGCCTTAATAAAAAAATATAGAACTTTCATAACTAAAATGGATATTGTTTTTCTCTCTCCAGGACCCCAGGAGCAAGCACAAGTTCAAAATCCACACGTACGGAAGCCCTACCTTCTGTGATCACTGTGGCTCCCTGCTCTATGGACTCATCCACCAAGGGATGAAATGTGACAGTAAGTTTTCTTTTCCAGTAGTTGGCCAGGCTCTGCAGCTCATGTCTGGGTTTGCTCAGTGCCAAGGTCTCAGAAACTTCTCAATAACAGCTCACCGCCAAAGAGAATAGGTTCAGATAAAGACAAGGCTCAGAGACTGATAAACTGCTCTCTTCTCTAGGTTCTGGGTTCTTATAACTGCTTACTTGTCTAATTAAGAGCCCCTAAAGGTAATTTGGTTTATAAATGAAGTTAGTTGGTACTGTCACTTTGTGTGTGTGTGTGTTAGAAATCTTCAATCCTTGTAAAATGCAGGCTAGTCAAACCCCACAGAAGATTCCCCACCTCCAGATTCTACATTTGGTTGGCTTCAAAATAAGCTAAGAAACCAGTCATTATCCTCCTATGCCTCTAATTAGTGGGTGGACTGTGGAAAAATCCACAGGCTTCTCCATAAAACTGAGGCTAAATATCGAGCATGAAAACCAGGGTGGCATCTTGAGCTCACTCACCCTGCCCGTTGATGAACAGTGGATCTATAGCAGCCGACTTATGTGTGACATCACAGAGGTCAGGGACATGGGGAACAGGGGGCCATTTCCATCTTCCTCCCCAGTCATGTTTGCATCCTTATCCAGTACCAAAGGAGAGAAAAACACAGCCTCAGAAACTTTCTGTTCTGCTAATCCTCTAGTGACAAGTCTACCTAGCTAGTTGCTTAAATAAAAATGTGTATGTTTAGGGCATGAAAAGGCAGCTACTAAAGCCTGTGTTCTTAATATATGTTAGGAAAGCACTAGCATGTTCTCATTCCTAAGAACTACACCGACCATGGAGCTTGGTATCCTGAGGTGGTGTGCATACGTTAGAGTGTATGAACTTGAGACCCGTGGAGTCTCTCAGAGCCCAGGGCTCCTTCAGCGTACCTGTTAATGGCCTTACCGTCCATGTCAGTGGCTTCTGCTCTTCAAGAAACACATCATTTCATCCTTTTCAGTGTTTCTAAAAATGGTAATCCTAGGTACACTTGTAAATGTATTTTTAGCTATTTTAAACCTTGGAGCAGGGCTGGAGAGATGGTCCAGTGGATGATGACGCCTGCTACCAAGAGTGACAACCTGGCATCAGTCTCTGGAAGACACATGGTGGATGGAAGGAAAGAACAGATTCATACAGATTGGCCTCTGACCTCCACGCGTGTGCTGTGGCCAGGGCAGCACAATAAATAAAAGTTAAAATCATTTGTGAACGTGGAGCAAAAATGAACACTCACGTGCATTGCATACATGTCTATCTTGACACAGTTAGCAAGACACTGCAATGTTTATATCCTACCCCCACTCAAGTGGTAGAGCTTGTCGCTGGGTTCCCCCAATCAATGCACTCTCCTGAGATGTCTGCTGCAGGGGAGGTGTGCTTCTTCATCCCATCTCCACATGTATATTCTCTTCTGGATGAAGCAATGATTTTATGTACAGAGTAATTTTAATTACAATGCAGAAGCAGATGGGCTGCCAGGTATTGTTTCTAGTCCGCTGCTGCTGCTGCTGCTGCTGCTATAGCAAAATACCTGAAATGGGGTACTTTACGAAGAATAAAGGTTTATTTAATCTCAGAGCTCTTGAGGCTGAGATGTCCAAGGATAAAGCAGCAGCCTGTAGTGTAGGCCATGACCGTGGTAGAAGGCCTCCTCTGGGAAGGGAGACTGGAAGACTAGCTGAGAGCTCTCTTCTGTTTATACAGCCACAGTGCCACCCCAGGAACCCCTCAGAGTCACACTCACAACTTCATGTACTACTTACTGTCTACCTCCCAAAGGCCTCTCCTACACTGGGTAAAATTCCCAGCACACAAACTTTTGGGGAGATCTTTCCACCATGACAGACATTAACTAGCCTCGCAAACCATCAATTTTAGGGTTTCATTTCCTGGCTACCCTTGACTGTCTTTATAATAAATAAACTGTGTAAATCTGAATATATTAGCTAAATTTTTGACAATAACATCTCTCTGGCTTTACATACTAGGATTCTGCTTTAGATTTCATTTGGAAAAAAAAAGAACAACATTCTAAACTATTTTGAAAGCCACTGACCCAAGCCATTGTTTTTGTGGGTTTTTTTTTTTTATTGGTTTTTTCCCCCTTGGACTTGGCATCTGGGGCTCCTTCCTGGAAGGAGGAGAATGAGCAGATGGCATCAGGATCCTAACCCTATCTTAGCAGAGATGCAGCCGTCCCTACACACACCCTTGTCTGTTGTCCCGTTGTACTCTGTGCACAGCTCCTCTTGGTGGGAAAAGTGCTAGCCACCACTTACGGCAGCCAACCCTTTGTAAGAAATGGGATCAGAGTGTGCAAAGAACTTCCCAAGGTACAAAAGCTGTTTTGAGTAGAGCCAAAACCAGAGTACAACCCCAGTGTGTGTTCATTTCTGAGTGTGACCCCAGTGTGTGTTCACTTCTGAGTACAACTCCACTGTGTGCTTACTCTCGAGTATGACCCCACACTGTCCTTGGTACCCATATTCTTTCCAAGTCCCTGTAATTATCATCCTCAAACTTCACCTTGTGCCCAGGTACCTGAGGGTAGATAGGGCTTGGGTAACCCTAGGAATATGAACAGCACAACTTTCCCCAGCCGATACAGCATCTTGAACAGGGAACTTTGTGAACAGAAACCAGAGGGGATCCACATGTGGGAAGCAGTTTTCGGTATTTAATTGCAGCAAATAGGCCTTATTTATGACTTTTTCAAAAGAAGGTGCGTTGCCAGGTTCAGATTAAACATTGAGAATGAAAGGAATAGCCAGGTTCTGCCTTGAATATCTCAGATTAATCTTGTTAACATCCCAGGGAGAGTGGGTGAGGATTCCAGAAAGCCCAAGGTACCGGGAGGGTGGAACCAGCACACCTACACAGCCTCGTGTTTGTAGTCAGCCCTGCCTGGGGATTCTTCTCAGGGTGGCTTTGGTTTATGGAAATAAGACTGATCTTTTTTTATCCTCCCCCTGTCTCGCCTACATAATGTCAGTGTAAGGAATGGCTTATGCCAGGCATGTATTTGTTTCACTTGGATTAATATTTAAATATTTAAAGACAGGTTTAAAATATCAAACACAAATTCCTTTTTTAAAAAAATCAAGCAACATACTTACACCTTCTCAAAAATACTGAGTTACAAGAGGGAAAGAAATTTTAATGAATTTCCTATACTCAGCCCATAAATTGTCACACATTCTTGGTGGCCAGCTCAGAAAGGCAGAAGGAATTCTCATCAGAGAATTGAATCCTCTGTTAAAATTTTTCATGTAGCATGCCTGTGTGCACATAAACTATTAAGTAGTTAGTATGAACTCTGTATACATTCACTTGTGAAGATTTTGTTAAATATTTGAAACAGTCACAGAAGAACAACCTGGGTCCTTTTGCTGTGATAAAGACTGAACAAATGCGAGATAGACATTTTAAGGGTTTTGCCACTCAGAGGAGGAAGCCTGCGCTGGAAGGGACATCTGCTAACAGTTCATGTCACCAGAAACATTATAGCAAAGTATCACATGAGGGAAGAGTCAGCCCCACGTCTGCTCAGACAGCAAAACACGGAGGCAGTGATGCGAGCCCATATGGCCAACCTTACCCCTTTGCTTTTTTGATTCACAGCCTGCGACATGAATGTTCACAAGCAGTGTGTGATCAATGTCCCTAGCCTCTGCGGAATGGATCACACAGAGAAGAGGGGGCGGATTTATCTGAAGGCCGAGGTCACCGATGAAAAGCTCCACGTTACGGGTAAGGCATCGTCCAGGAGAATCACTGCTGGGCAAAGGTCAAGGTGATAGCAAAGCAGGTGAATCTGCACTAGGTACCTTGGTGTCCCTCAAGGCATTGACCACTAAATAATACATCCTATGAGCATACTCTGTACAAACGACTTCCAAATACTCAATTGTCATACAAAGTCTAAGCCAACATGCAGACCTGGGTGCTCTGACAATGGACACCATTTCCTCCCCACCATGCCTGGGACAGGAAGGCCAACTGGTCATAATGCTGTCGGTAAAACCAAAACTTGGCCAGAAAAGACAGATGACTGGAGGATCTAGATGCTCAGTGGTCTTGGTTTGTTATGACCTGAAAATCAACATCAGAGGTAGTGACAGCAGCTACTGGTGTCTGCATATCCTTCCTCTGTGTTAAGGATGATGTCAGGAACTTCATAAATGATATTTACTTATCTCTATACTTGATTACTAGCCTCATTTCCCAGACAAGGCACAAGGAGATGGAGAATGTACAGCAGTGTAGAGTTATAAAATGGGAAGACAAGAGGAGAACATTTGCATCAAAACCCTCAGTCTCAAATTCTCCTGCCACATGCATCCTCATCAAATGGCCAAGCCATGGCAGAAATTCCCTAGCCATGGGCTATAGCACTCCTTCCTGTATCTGTGCAGGCCATGCTACAGCCTGAATTTTCTTTTGGCTTTTCCAGGCCCACTTCTAGTACATCAACACACTCAACAAAGTTACTCTGATATCTTGATTGCTAAGAACCTATCCTGTATCTCCAACACGTTCCAGCCTCTCTGTGTCATACTAGGATCTGAGTCCAGGGCCTCATGTTTACTAGTCAAGTGATTTACCACTGGGCTAAACCCCAAGCCTCCATGTTGGTTTATGATTTAAGTCTCAGAACAATCTACACTCTTGCTCTTAGGGCTCCTGGTGGAGAGCCTGTAAGCTTTGTCTTTAACAGTGTCTTTAAATCATTTCATCAGGAAGGTTTTTATACTCCCATCTGTATTTATGGCTTTTAAGTTATCGTTAAGTGTTGGAAAGACTGACTTTAATGGTGTTTACCTATAAGCATCATTATAAACAGTAGAAGCTGTAATAAAAAGAGACAAGGAAGTGCTATTTAAGAAAAGAAAGAAGTGAGAAGAGTTTAAAGAAAGCTTATTTTGGGAAACATTCAAAATTTAGAGAGGGTATTGTTATTTGGTCTCCTTCCTTCCTTCCTTCCTTCCTTCCTTCCTTCCTTCCTTCCTTCCTTCCTTTCTTTAAAAAATAAGCACATTTTCTTCCCAGAACTGTCCTTTTGAATCATAATGCAAGGAACTCAAAGAATTTTGAGTCTTTATTCTAGATATATCCATGGAGGGTATTTTTGAAACTTTGGCTTTCCCCTAAACTTCCCTTCTATGGAGCCAATACTGTCACCAGCATCACCATTCTACCTAGGAAAGAACTATGCCAGGAGTTGTGTGTTCCTGTGCTAACCACAGTCTACTGCAAGAAAACTCTTCTCTGATGAGGGTTGGCTAATGCACTGATCTATAGGTCTGGTAATATATCATTAGGAGTCATTTATTGCTATGTTTGTTGAGCATAATAATTGTAGGACATTTTCTCCTACATCGCCTCAAATCTACATGGCCTCAGATTCTGGGTCTCATTGACAGTGTCAGGTATGGTTCCATCTCACAAAGTGGGCCTTAACTCAAAAATAAATGAATAAATAAAAGTACTTGGTTGCTCCCATGACATTTGTGCCACTATTACATTGGCAAGCATTGCTTCTTGCCAGATAGGTTATTGTAGCTTGCAGTGTGCACAGTTGGGTGACACTGATGATTGCCTTTTTCCTCCAGTAACACACATAGTACCTTATAGCACTGTGCACACTACCCAGTAAGGGTGAAACATCCAGTTTAGTACCAACTAGATTCCTTCATGTTCTACCACTCATCTGGAGGGTAAACATTGAAATAGCTTGTGGTGTTTGGGCAGGGTTATGAGACCAACAACTCAAAAAAGAGATTTGTAGTTGAAGTTGTATGTCCCCACCACAGGAAACTCCATTAAAACACCTTTTTATATATGTTTATATTTTAGGAAGTTTCTGCAGTAACAGTTTTCCATGTGACTCTTTCAAAGGGCCAAAAAAGCTACTTTCTAAGCATTCTCTGTGTCTCATTTAAACCTGCGAGTAAGCTTACTTTGTGATCCTTGATTTATAGATGAAGAAATTGAGGCACAAGGAAACGAAATAGCTCCTGAAAATTGGAAGTTTGACTGCAAATGCTTTAATAGTACCAATAAGAATGGAATCTATTTCTAAGATCATTAGTGGATATAGCTCAGTGGGAGATTCCTTGCTGAAAACCCATAAGGCTCCATAAAACCAAAACAAGGTAAAATAAGATGTAGTTATTTATGTACAGGAAACCCAACCCTAAATTTAGAAAGTAAGCTCAAGGAAATAACTAATTAGTAATAATATCTTGAAAAATATGTCTTATTATTTTGGCAGTATTGGGAAGCAAAACTAGACCTTGCACATGCTAGACAGGTTCAGTACCATAAAGCTGCATCCTACCATCTTGGGTTTTTTGAGATAAGATCTTACTATGTAGCCCTGACTGGCCTTCAACTCGCTATCTGCCTGCCTCTGCCTCCTAAGTGCTAGTATGCAGGACTGTACCACTACATCCAGCTAGAAGTTATTGGGCAGAGTCAAAGAGAAGACATCCAACTCACATTTTTGCCATGCCAAAGTATCAAGAGGAATGCCAAGCAAAGTAGTTCTCTGCAGACAGGTGCTCTGTCTGTACCTCTTGCTTTCTGGATTGTTCAGGCAACAGTTTGTCCTGAGGACACTTGTTGACAACAGCTGGTATCACTTTTCTAATGCCTAGGGTGTACCTAGTCTTTCTTTGGCCTGTACACCTTACATTCATTGTCTTGTTGACTCTACATGCAGTCTCATCAAGGAGGTAACCTCTCTTGTCCTCTTCAAGGTGAGTCAGGGGATGGAAAGGAGAGAAGGAAATTGCTCTAAGCCACAAAGTAGAAGGTAATGAAGTTGGCCAGATTCCGAGCTCTTCAATACCTAGTCTCTGAGCCTCCCTGAGTTTCTCTTATTGAGTAGAGTCTCCTTTGGAACAAACAATAAACCCACAAATATTTTTCCAAACTTGCATTCAGCACTCCAGGACACTCTTGAAAATCCAAACACAGGACTTAAAGCCAGGGGAGTAAAAGGGTACCACGTGGAGGGATTAAAGAGCAAGCCAATTCCAAGTGTCATTAACTGCCAAATTATGTGGTCTCAAAAATAGCACACTACAGGGAGGTGCTCAGGATGTGGAGGGGACTGGGAAAGAAAAGACCCCGTGAAGGAGACTGCTGTGAGGGAGTATTCGAAAGGTAGAGGGAAGAGTGCTTGGCTTGCTCTCGGGGAGGGTTAAATAGATGTGGAATTAGCATGGCTTTAATGAGAACGCAAATATGAGCAATAAACCACAGTGAGTGGAGCTTAGGGTCCAAATGCAAGTGATTTCCTAGGAAATGCATTTAAAGCGAACCCCCGAGCAGCCGTGTTAATTGCTAGATTAGCTCAGTCCCCATTTCACCTATATGGAATTGCTCAGGTTGAAAATAATTTCCAAAGTAACTTGGGAGTTCCCAGTGGGAGCTCTCCGCTCTGGGATGGAAATATCCCCCTTTGAAATCAGAAGTGAGTTCAGTTTTCTAGATTGCTGCTGAGTTTGTGGGAAAGGCCTCCTCTTCCTTGGTATATTTTATGTTTTTGCCTTTGGGCAATGATGCTAGAGGAAACCAGAACTGTGCTCCCCACCCCTCCCGGGCCCAAGGAGATTTTAAAAGGTTTCTTGTATTCTTGTATCACTTTCTTATTTGGTATGGAATGATATAAAAGGAATTCCTCATGAGAAGCCATTTTCAGTTTCATGTTGCAAGTAAACAGGAGAGAAATAACCACCTGCTTTCCGGCTGTTTCAGTAGCACATGGCTCCCACAGACAGATTATTCCGAAGAATTTAATTTCCCCGTATGCTTTGGTTTGTTAGTATAGCATGGAGATTGAAATCCTAGCCTGAGTTCCCATGGGGCAGGTGGTGGGGTACCTTTCTCCTGGTCTGTGACTCCCTGCAACACATGGTCTGAACTCTCTGTTGGGCTTTAAGAAGCTCCGTGTTCCAAAAAATAAATAAATAAAAGAAAAGGAAAAAAAGCCAGCCAGGCAGTGGTGGCACACGCCTTTAATCCCAGCACTTGGGAGTCAGAGGCAGGCGATTTCTGAGTTCGAGGCCAACCTGGTCTACAGAGTGAGTTCCAGGACAGCCAGGACTATACAGAGAAACCCTGTCTCGAAAAAAAAAAAAAAAAAAGAAGAAGAAGAAGAAGAAGCTCCGTGTTCAGAGCTAGGATCTCTTCTTCCTCTGTACCAAATCTGGCCGCCATGTTGTGGAATAAAAGAGCATTCCCTCTGTCTGTTCTCTCACCTCTTCAGAATATGTTTCATACAGGATCCAAACAATGAGCTTTCGCTTCCTGTAACACTCCAGCTCTCTTAACATCTATTGTGAGACTTTTCCTGGAGTTAGTTGGAGATGATGTGTGTCCACCCAAAATAGACCCCAATGATAGACCAAAAGAGCCATTCTGACCAAATCCAGCTTCAAGAATCAGTGAGTTTACTGGGCTTACTTATAGGAGTGTAGGTGACTCTAAACAGCTACATCACAGAGATACCTCAGCCCCAGTGTCATTGAAAGCCTTCTAAGAGCTGCAAAGATTAAATCCCTGCTTCAGTTAACTTTCCTCCCATACACCTCCAGAAACCAGGTATATTTGGCCATTGCAATATTTGAAGTCTCAAATGAGATCGCATAGTCAGTCTGTAGACATGAGTACAAGAGAGGGTGTGGCTGTAATCTCACATGAGGGCCCTGTGGCCTTATGGCCATACCCCTACTCTCTCTACA